AACTCATTTATTTGAGATCCATTGCACGAAGAACTTAAGAAAGTATTTATTGTTTCCCATAATTATAGTCAGAAATTGCAATCCGTTAGCTTTTTAATCACTATGAAATGTACATATGTTCAACGACATAAAAATACAATTACATTGTATAATTATAATTTTACTGCTATCTATATTAATTATATATTTATATACATCCGCTTAAAATTGATGCAGCATTATTAATTACCCGAATATTGTCTAAGGATATTAATTTTGCAAATTCTTCTTTATCGACGATCGCTTAGGTTGATTTTCTGAATTCTCCATGGGTAATAAATTGCTTTCCTATTCAGACACAACATTGCTGAGTCAGAATCTTGACTGTCGCGGGAGAATTCAAGAGACAGTTGATATGTGTTGAGACTCCAATGCTATATTATATTTTCGCATACATATTATACTTTGTTCATTTTTTCTTCTTCTTTTTTTTTCTTTTTCTTTTACTTTCTGGGAAAATTAATCATTAATCTGACTCTGAATTATTATTTAGTATTTCAGGATAACATAGATACATTCTTAATTAATAAATTTCATATTTTAAAAATAGAAAAAAGCATTTCTTTTAAATGCTATGAGGCATATAATTATTTTTTAATGCAGATTGAAATCAGTCAATGCTTTATGAATTGACGAAATATTATTAAGGTGGTTACGAATAACAATACTACTGCTATCATGTAACTAAAGCGTGGGCAAATAGTCGAATGATCAATTAAATTGATTTTAATATTTATCAATTCTATGAGAACGTCTATCAAAATTTGTAAACGCCCGTGCATATTCGTAAAATTTTATTACGCTATGTCAATTAATATATAGTTAAATTATGATTGATCCTCATCAAATTCGTTTCAAGGATAATCTATAATATATAGAGAATTTAATATACTTCATAAATTAATTATAAACATTACTAATTTCTTAATAGAGCAAGTTTTAAGACACAGTTTAAAAATATAATTCACTTAAAAGATATGATATCATTATTTTTAAGATTTAAAATTTTTAATGGCAAAGATAGCAAATGAAGCCTGGGATTTTGCACCTCTCAAGACCTTTCTTCATTCTCGTGCCATTGCACACGAAAGCGCCGTGGACTGGTAACTCAACAATATAAAAAGTACCATTAATACTCGCGAAAGCATTTATTTCCGCTTCGAAATAAATGTATGTGACAAGTTACAAACGCACCTGTAAAAAGTCAAAAAAAAAAAAATTAACAATTGCAGCCGTCTTCTTCGCAAGCGAGACAACAACGAGCAGAGGTAACCTCTTGCCCTCTATTACATATAATACCAAATAGCCCTTTACCAGCAGAAAGATATACGCGAGCGCGCGCGCGCACAAGAGACAAGTCCCGAGGTCGCGACATCGTGACCACCACGGCCAGCCACTGATTTACATATTGTCCACCGTTGAACCAGAGTCACGTTTTTGTCTTTCCTTTGGAATGCCATGGTGTAGCCCACGGACAGAGAAGGAGCAAAAAAGAGACAAGGATATTGCATTCTGTCTCTTTCCCTC